GGATTGAATTGTTTGTTTATTTTGTCACTACTAGCAATGGCATCTATCATGTACATAATGTAAATACTACAATTGAATGAATCGAGAATATTTTGATAAGGTCTTTGACCATTAAAGTCACTCATGATCCATTTTATGCCTTTCAGTGTACCGAATGTTGAATTTGCTGTACAATTACTTATAAAACTATTAAACTCTTTCTTAACTCTTTGGTGATCTGAACTACTTAATAGAGGATCAAGCAAAGTTAAACTTTCCTCTCTCATGTTTACTATTAATAGTCTCCAATGCACTTGAAAAACGTAGGGCATATTAATAATATTTTTTAACGTTTTGCTTATACTGTATAATCTAATGTGATTTATTTTTCTTCTTGCTTCATTGTAGTCTCCAATGGCTGTTCTAGTATCATTTGTTGGTAAATATGTTACGTCTTCATTCCAGTATTTTAATCGAGATAATGTATAAGCGTCTATAATTTGTCCGTTTATTAAGTTGCCTGGTCATTCGGTATTTTACACTTTCCAATTTTTATAAAACTTGATTTTGATGTAGAGTAAAAATACACGTTTTTGCGATAACCTCTCTAGATGTTTCACTGCTGATCTTCCTCTTTTTTACCTCTTTTCCAAATATCTTCTATAAAATAAACAGAATCTGTGGTTGGATACTTTGGTTTTTTCCCCTTGATACTTCTTTTTAAGTGAGCTTCGCTTCCTAACTTGTCACCAAAAATCAACTCTCCGTTATAATCTCTTAGTTTCCTAATAACCGCACCTATGCTCATTTCTGATTGCCTTTTTAAAATATTATACTTAATATTCTTGTGGTGTTACTCTGCATGAGCATTGCTTACACGTCAAATTTTAGGATCGACTAAATCTAGCATAACGCAACCACAAATAAAAATATATGGCTTAAATTCCAACGTTATATATTCTACAAACTCTGGAGCATAATATTGATTTGTTATATCTTTAATAGCAAGCTCTTCTGTTTGTAATTCTTTTTCAGAAGTAACATACTTTGAGTAATATTTTTTATAGAATTTTGCTTGAACATATAGTGATTTATTCCTTTTGTAAGTGATGTCAAATTGCTCTTCAGCATCAATTGTCCGTTTTATTTCGTTACTAAGTTTAACTTCTTTTCTTAGTTTCTTCAATTCTTCTTTCATTTGTACTGTTGCCATTGCGGTTAGTTGAAGTAATGATTGCTCTGCTTTATCTTTGTCTTTCGTCAATACCAATTTTAACATATCATCGTACACTACATCAACTTCCATCATGTTCCTTCCTAATAGGAAAATTCTGTCCGTTTTCTAAATAATCTAATGTTGCGTTCAAATATGCCAAGAATTCCATATTATTCCAGTCAGTATAACGATAGCGTGCATTTCAACTACATTTCATCTACAACAATATCATTGTAAAATGGCCAAGGATAATGATTGGTGATAAAAAAATGCTTGTACTCTTTTAAGAAAATACCTAGCACATTGGTGTTCAATTTCACAGTTAACAATTCTGCTCCCGAAATTGCAGTTTCAAGCAATTTACATATAATAACGTAATACATAATCTTACTGCAATTTAAACCATCAGGTTTTCGCGCAACTTTACTTGTACCATATGGGCAATTTTTGGACCTTTCTCATTATGTATTAATTCTTGTTGTTTTTTAGTAAACATTGTAGTCCTCAATGGAAAATCAAGAACTCGAAAATATGGATCAAAAAGAGAACTTTTGTTTATCCAAAATTGTGTAAGGTCTTGAAGATCTAAGGGATCATCCATAAATAACATTACACTGATTTTCGGGTTTTTTTAACCCCCCCCCTTTGTTGCATTTGGTTGCAAATTACCAACACCCCCCCCTAAATATAACGTTGCAAAAATGACTTATACGCCCATAAATAAAATTTATATTATTTTTCTGGATTAATGAAGTCATTTTTCTTATTTCTCATATTATTATTATTTATTAAAATTAACTCTGATAATGATTTACACAACAATAATAATTTATAATAATGTTAAGAAACATTTTGCAAAGTTACATTTCAAAATCACCCTCCTCCCCCTTGTTGCAATCAGTTGCATTTTTCAACAACCCCCTCCCCTAATCGTGTAACGTTATTTATGGATGCTTCCTAAGCTACGAAATTTTTGTCGCCCCTCTAAATTTTGTTCTGAACTTATTTCTTGTGCTGTTGGTAATCTAATAACTTTTTGTGGATGTCCATCATGCCACAATTCTATATCAATTTCTTTATTATTCTCTAATTAAAAGTCTCTAGGATTTCTGTATTTAAAAAATTCTTTTAATTTTTCTCTCCGCTTACTTCGAATTTGTTCGTATTTTCGGGAACTCGTTTCATCATGTCTGTCTGGCTTTTTTCATGACTTTTGACAGAAGGTGACACTATTGGCTCTGATAAATTATACGCTTCAAATCGGTAATGTTGTATATGCGTATATGTGCACTTACCATAGAAAACAATTGTATTTGAGATTTTGTTATTTTTCCTATTTGAATAAAAATAAATTATACATGAACATCTATAATCTTCAACAAACTTTAATCTAGTTGCATTTTTTAATAAATTTAAACCAATTTCATCTTTTTCGTAATTTTTTATTATTTGTGCAGGAATTTTTAACTCACAAATATCAACATTGTACTTATATCTTTTATTTTGTTCTTTTTTAGGGTTCCGTACACCTACGGTGTATCGGCGGAATCCTATTGGTGAGACTCTGTTGTCCGTAGCCAAATCGTGTCCCCCCCCTAGCGGCTAAACTATTTGACCTAAAGAGCTCAAATTTGGTCCAGATATGTATTTTCACTCGTAGATTACAGGAAAAATATAGCGAATGTGATTGGACGTGATGGGCATAGCGTTGTCAAGGAAATAACAAGATTTTTGGCCAAAAATGCATAAAAAGTGACCATTCCCCCCCCTTAACTTCTAAACTATTCGACATGGAGAGCTGAAATTTTGCATGCTGGTGTATTTTTACTCGAATATTACAGGAAAAATATAGAGAACTTGATATGTAATGATGGCCATAGCGTTGTCAAGGAAAAACTAAAAAATTAAAAAAAAAATTTGTTTTCCCTAACTTTTACATTATTTGACCTAATGAGCTGGAAATTTGTATCCTGGTGTATTATTACAGTCTGACGACAAAAAATTTATTTAAGAAACTTTAAAAAAAGATTTTTTTTAATTTTTTTTTTCAAAAAAAAAATTTTTTTTAAATTTTTTTTAGTTTAAACACGTGGCATTAAATATTTTAAGGAAGAGTGAAATTTTAAGAGAATAAATGAGAGATTGTTTTCTGACTTTAATTTCTTAACTAAAAATAAAAAAAAATTGGACAACTGCGAGTTGTACTCGCACTGCAATGGCGGGTTCCGTACACAAATATTAAAACAATACTTGCAACATTTATCGGTAATTAGTGGAATTAAAATAAACAATTAAAAAAATATATTAAAATCATTTGATAAGAAGAAATAACTAAAAAAAATTAAAGTATTGTATATCTAATATTGTAAACAATAATAAGCAGAGGAACAAAATTTTCAAAATTATAGTTTCTCTGCTTATTATTGTTTACAATATTAGATATATACAATACTTTAATTTTTTTAGTTATTCTTTTTTATCAAATGATTTTAATATATTTTTTTAATTGTTTATTTTAATTCTACCAATTACCGATAAATGTTGCAAATATTGTTTTAATATTTGTGTACGGAACCCGCCATTGCAGTGCGAGTACAACTCGCACTTGTCCAATTTTTTCGATTTCTCATTTGATGATTCTTTGGAGTCACTCGTTCTACTATCATTAGTAGTGGTATTTTTTTGTAAATCTTCTTTCTTCTACTTCGTTGCGTATTTTTCTCAATCGCTTGTTTCTATTGTATATTTGATAACTAACAATATCCTCAATTTTTTCAACCTCAAAATTAAATACTTTATCTTTTTTAACATTTCTTTTAATTTTAATTTCATTATTCTTGATAATTTGCTCTGGAGTAACACTACGAACTATTTATCCATTTTCTGTAACATTTATTCTTTCATCTACGATTTCATTGAAGTTGGGTCTATTAGTAATCTCATTCACTTTTAAAACTTGTAACGTTTTATTACGTTTCTGTTCTACTAACAATCCTTGTTGATACTCAGATTGAATAATTTATATTAGTACTATATTTTCAAATTGTATTTCGCGCCTTAGCGCCAAACTTTAACACCACACTGTAAAAAATTTTAGGTGAAATTTACACCGTCGCACGATGGCAATAAAAGGACCCTCGTCGCACGTGGTAAATTTCCGAACTAAAACTGAAAATTACGCTGCTAGATGAATTTTAATTTTTTGAAAGTAAAATTCATTTTGACAAATAAAATTTCATCGCATTCATATTAATTTTCAGTACCACAATTGTAATTTTCAACTGTATGTATTATTTTTTTTTAAATAAAAAGTAAAATTCATATTGAAAATATTAGACGAATCTAGGTTATATTAAATATGAGAATAATAAAATTGAACCAAAATTAGGGTTATGTTACCTTGTTTCACTTGATTTAAAGTTTTATTACTTTTCCAGACTATTTTTGATAAAAATTGATAATTAATTAATTTAATCTCATGAAATATTGTAGATAATAGGATGGAAAAGTATGAAGTTTGTAAATCGTGAAACTGTATAACGAAACCCTGTGTAAGAGTAAAGGAAGAATAGAATTATATTGCAGAAAATGAAATTCTTTTATACCTATAAATTATATCAAAAAGTTATTTATTAAAACATTTAAAAACATTAATTATTTTTTTAATTAAACATATTCCAAACAATATAAATAATAAACGTAACAATAAATTTTCCAAATTTACATAGATTAATCAGTCTTCTTCTTATGATGAATATATTTGTAATATTAATATTTATAAAAATATTAACAATAACTCCTCTTCCTCGTCGCAGTGATCTGCTTCTAGAACAATCTATTAAATAATTAATAGTTAAATTGATTGACTGACAAAAAGTTAACAAAAATTGTATTAATTGAATAGAATTATGGTGAGACTTTTTTTCTTATAATAAGGTTTAATTGTTTGACAAATTTAGTGGTTACATAATACAGGGCTCGGATCGTCTTTAAGACTCAAAAAAAGTCACAATCAGGAATAAAATTTTAAAAAATTAAATAAAATTCATTAGCAAAATTTTAATTAGGTATTTTTAACATTTTTTAAAAAATTCTCTTTAAAATGTCAATTACACAGGCCGACAAGATTTACTTTCCAAGAATCAGATAATACTTTTCCGAAGGTTTTCGACGTGCTGAATCCGAATTCGGCCTTAAAATAGACCCATCACGTCAGGTTTTCGAGATATTTTAACCTAAAAGTGCAAAAAACCTGTTTTTAGTCATATTTGATGTCATGTAACATCAAGAGATAATTTTTTCATTTAAAAAGTCAATATTGCGTCTAAAAGTGCTACTCTTCCCCTTTAATATCCATTTTGAAAATTTACAAAATCTTCATTTGTCTCTGAGTAATCGTTCATTGAATTTTTTGAGTTTGGCGAATTCTTCGAAAACTAAGTAGAAACAGACAAAACTTCGATAATAAAGCAGATTTTAACTACAAACATCTAAATTTTAAATAGTTCTGAGGATTTTCGATATAACTGAATACGAATTCGATATTAGATTCACAAAATTCAAAATGGCGTATACAATATGGCAGACGATTTATTTCAAATTGATTGTATTTTCCTCAAATATGCCATTTTGAATTCTGTTAATCTGATATCGAATTTGTATTCAGTTATATCGAAAATCCTTAGAACTATTTAAAATTTAGATGTTTGTAGTTAAAATCTGCTTTATTATCGAAGTTTTGTGTTTCTACTTAGTTTTCGAAGAATTCGCCAAACTCAAAAAATTCAATGAACGATTACTCAGAGACAAATGAAGATTTTTTAAATTTTCAAAATGGATATTAAAGGGGAAGAGTAGCACTTTTAGACGCAATATTGACTTTTTAAATAAAAAATTATCACTTGATGTTACATGACATCAAATATAACTAAAAACAGGTTTTTTGCACTTTTAGGTTAAAATATCTCGAAAAGCTGACGTGATGGGTCTATTTTGAGGCCAGATTCGGATTCAGCACGTCGAAATCCTTCGGAAAAGTATTGTCTGATTCTTGGAAAGTAAATTAAATCAAATTTTGTTGGCCTGTGTTATTTTTATAAATAATAAAATTCTCCTCCGAAATGCAATTATTTAACAAATATTTTAATAAAATTCTTGTCAAAATTTTAATTATGTATCTTTATAAATAATAAAATTCTTCGCAGAAATTCAATTATCTTTAAAAGTAATAAAATTCTTCGCAGAAATTCAATTATCTTCAAAAGTAATAGAATTCTTCGCAAAAATTCAATTATCTTCAAAAGTAATAAAATTCTTCGCAAAAATTTAATTATTTTAACAAACTTAAAATAAAATTCAATATTTTTTGGAAGCCATAAAATTATTTAAATAAAAGATGTTTTGATTCTTCTGTTTGGCCTAATGGCTTCATTATATATTTATATTTACAATAAGATGACGCGTTTCGACATGGAATACCACATCCTCATCAGATCTACAATGATAATTTACTACAATATAACATATATACAGACAGCATGTTGGAGAACATTTACGAAGTATAAGATTTCTTTGTTTATATAATATAATTGCTTGAAAAAAATTTTTTTCTTTAAAAAATGTTCATATAAAAAATACATTATCCATGTTACGTTAAAATTTGAAGGTTAAGTGTCAAAATTTACGAAGTCAATACATATAAACATGATAAAGTTCTTTACAACAAATTCAAAAAAATATTTAAAAAACGAGCATTTAATAAAAGTTCATGGTTTTATGTATAATAATTTTATTAAAAACACTTTAAAAACACATAAATAATAAATACCTGCTTAAGACATATAATATTGTTTATTTAAAAATGTAAAAAATGGAACATTGTGCTCATTATTTGTAATTCTTAATATTTTTTAATTTTTTCCTTTTTCGTTTAGACATTTAATCAAAAAAAGTTTTTTATAAAAAATAAATAAATAATTTTTATTTTATTTCAGAGCACATGTTTAAATGATAAAAAAACAGTCACAGAAAACATGTGTTTATGATAGATGACCGTGAAATTCAAAATTAAAGAACAAGGTTTAAATAGAAATGGTTTGCTCGAAGTTGATATAAAAATGGAGTGTCAGATTATAATGAAAGTATACAAAATACATTATGAATGCCATGAATCCTATATATAAAGCTCATTCTTTTACAAAATATTAGGAAAATTAAAATAATTAATATAAACAAATATTTGAAATACAAAAAATTAAAATATCGAAAAAAATGCAACCTCACAATATCACGAAAATATTAGATTCAAATATAAACTGCTTAAATTTTCTGTATCAGTTTTTAGATTAATTGAATTTTTATGTTTAATAATATAAAACATTTCAAGAATTTTCCTCTTGTTGTAATTACTTTCAGCTTGTAGAATCTTAACACTATCAGATGAAAAGTCAAAATTGTGATTATTTACTGTAGAGTGTTTGCAAAGAGCACTTAGTTTACTTTTGTTTGCCTCCTGATATTTATGTTCATAAACCCTTCTTTTTAGATATCTACCAGTTTGTCCAATATATGTAGCATTACAATTTTTACAATCAATTTTGTAGACAACGTTAGTTTTCTCAAATTTCGGGGTTTCATCTTTAGGTAATTTAAAAAGAATTGTGTTAAATTTATTTAATGATTTGAAAACTATCTTAATATTATGTTTATCAAATATTTTCTTAATTAAATGTGAAAAATTTTCTATGTAAGGCATAGAAATAGTTTTCGAAAAAATGTTTTGATTTGAAGTTTCTATAGAATTTTTATTTTTATTACTTTGATAGTTTTCTATCCTTCTATTAATATATTTCTCAAGAAAAGTCGATGGATATCTATTTTTTATTAATGTATCAAATACTAGTTTAATATTACTTGTATGATATTTTGGTTCAGATAATTTAATGGCCTTGTCAATGAGAATAAACTATTCCAATTTTTACATTAATATGATGATGTGAATTGAAATTAAGATAATTTCCAGACCATGTCTTCTTTCGAAACCAGTTTGTTTCTATAAATTTTCCGGAAAAATCCATTGATATATCCAGAAAATTAATTTTCCTCGCAATTGGGAATTCAAGCGTGAACTTTAAATGTTCATCCTTAGAATTAAATCTGCTGAAAAAATCCTGAACCTTATCAATCGGTATACAGCATATCGAATCGTCAACATATCTATAATAAAATATGATTTGGTAGTCAATTTCGTTAAAGATTTCCATCTCAATATGCTGCATTAAAATTTCTGAAACTACAGCAGAAATTGGGCTACCCATTGGCACACCAAACTTCTGTTTATATAATTTTCCCTGAAATTTGAGAAAAGAGTTTTCAAGACACAACTTTAGACCGTTCAAAAAATCATCGCAAGACAGCTTTGTATGCTTTTGATATTGAGACCAGTTAGATTTTATGATAGAATATACTTTTTCACAATCAATATTAGTGAACATAGATACTACATCTAAGGATATTATAGTATAATCCTCTGGTACAAAAACATGGTTAATTTTATTATGAAAATCCCAACTGTCCTTTAACGTATTTTCTGATCCACGTGTTACTTCAATTAAAATATTTTGATAGAACTGAGAAATATTATAAAGGGGGGAACCGATAAATGACACTACTGGTCTTAAAGGGCAGTCAGCTTTATGTATTTTAGGTAAACCATATATTAAAGGAGGAACTCCATTTGAACATTTTAAATAAAAAGCCATAGAATCTGTAATAACTTGTTTTCAAACCCAGCAATCTAATAATGAAGTTAAATTTTTTTGGATGTTAATAATTGGATTTGCACGTAAGGGTTCATAAGTATTTTTGTCAGATAATAACTGTTCCATTTTTTAAATATAATCTGTTTTACATAAAGCTACGATAGTTTTACCCTTATCAGCTTTTGTTATTATAATATTTTTATTATCTTTCAAGAATTGTTTAGTTTTACTAAATTTAAACTCAAGAGAACGTAAATTTGGATCTCATGTTTCACTAGATCGTATAAAAGAAGTAAGGTTAAATGTGAAACTTGATCTCAAGATATCCAAATCTCTTTGTGTAATTTTAAGTGGTTTTTCTTCAATCCCCGCAATAAAATCAGCTTTCGGTATATTTGACCTTTTAAAAGGTAATGCAAAATTCCCACCAAGACTCAAGATTTGTATTACATCATCCGGAAAATTAAGAGTGGTTAAATTTTTAAAACTACTTTTTTTATCAACTATAATTTCTCTAACATATTTATTTTTTAAAATATTAATCTTTTTCTTAGATATTTCTATTAAACGTGAGCCATATTGTTTAATCCCTTGAAAATTGCACTTCTTTAGATTTGACAAAAAATTTGATGATGTTTTATTAGTAAGTATAATAAATAATATATATTTATTAATATAAATAATATTAATATATATTATATATTATATATTATATATTATATATTATATATTATATTATTATATATTATATATTATATAATATAATAAGTATAATACTCGGTCATCTTTAATTACTATAAAACATGAAGGTTCAAAAGGTTCAAAAAGGTTTGAATTTGAATCTTTTGAAGAATTTTAATTTCTATGGAAAGACAATAATTAAATATTTATTTAAACAAGAAGTTATTGATGTTTTCGACAAATTTGTAAATAAATGTAACAGAGCATTTTTTTGACTCAAACTTTTTCCTTTAAATTTAAAAAAAAATTTTAATTCTATTCGCATTTTACTAAAAAAATCTCGAAAAAGTCGATTAGTCGCATTTTTTCACAAAAAAGTCGAAAAAAGTCACATTTCCTTAGAAAAGTCGGAAAAAGTCGCACAATCCGAGCCCTGAATTAATAATTATTCAATATTTTGTGGATATAAAAAAAATTTTAATTCTAATTAAGTCATGCACGGAGAAAAATAGTTACCTAGATTAGCTAATTATTAGTTATGGTACAGCTAACTCAATTGCTATTATATGGATAGCAATTATTGTTAGCTAACGCAGCTAATAATTAGCTAAAATAGCTAACTTTTTTGCTACAACAGCTAATTGTTAGCTGCCATAGCTAAAAATTAGCTATCCGTACAATAGCAAACTCATTTTTCTCCGTGTGAAAATACTTGAAACCATAATTTTAACTGCGAAAAAACATTATTTACAATTTCAAAGATCAATTTGATTTTTCCATGTAATATTATAAAAAAAGGGAATCTTAACTTTTAAAAAGGCATTCAAATGTTTAAAAAATTTCAAATTAAGTAACAAATTATAGAAATGCTATTTTCATTTTTAAATTCTATTTATTATTTTATTTATTCTATTTAAAAATGTTTGTAAGTTATAAAAAATGTCAATTTTTTGTAAATTTTTACCTGAGCTTTGATTCATTTCTTCTTTTTAAGACGATGATGATGATGATGATGATGTAGGAACATTTACGTCACGCAACTTATTATATAAGCCCATGACCTTCGATAAAACCACCGTATGATGTCGAGCTTTACTACGGTGTTTAGATCTAATTGGGCTTGCGTACATTTCGACGAATAATAAAGTAGCAGCCAAATTGTCATTATATATTCTGTTGAAGACATAAGTAGAAGCAAAAAAATACTGGAACGCTTTTACGAAGTCTGTATTGTACCATACTGCAACCTTGTCAATTATGACACGATATTCTATTGGATTCGAATCTGCAAGCAAACATTTTTACAATCAATTTTTATGTGTTCGGTAAAACGCCAATTCCTACCCAGCAGAAGATGTTCTCGGAAGCTTCCGTAAAGCTTTTAGTGGAATCTTTGCAATCCTCCTTTAAAATTTAAAGGAAAGATACCTTGAAGCTGAAAATATCCGAATTAGAGGAAACTTCCATTGGAACCTTAAGTGTAGCCTCGACCAGAAGAACAAGGAAAGTTTCTCAGAAACCTATAAGAAAGCTTCCTTTCAGGCGAATAATTTAAGCTTAAGGGTAGCTTCCTTTAAACTTTCAAAAGAAAATTGCAGAAATTCCACTGGAAGCTTCTGGGAAGATTTTGTGCTGCATCGGTTGTTAGAAATTTAAACTTTTTCATTACAAAAATCTAATAAATTCATAAAATTTTTTATAAAAAAGATTTTTCTTCTAAATTGCATAATAAACTAGTTTACAATAACAATTAAAATCACAAAATAGCCTGAATTCTTGCTTATAATATAAGTCCGTTAAAACAGAAAATTAAATATTATTATCACGGAGAAAACGAATAAAGTAACTATACTATTTTCAAAGTAAAACTTACACTGATAAAAACTTCTGCGAATTTTTGTCAATTCGTACTATTTTTGGAGTAAAAGTTGCTTCAATCGAAGTGCATTTTCGTAAAAATTTGTAAAATATATTTCGAACGTAGCAAAATTAACTCTGAAAATAGTAAAAGTTGACAAAAATACTAAGAATATAGAACTCCTGATTTTATCACTCGGTTAAATTAATAATATGTAAGATGTTGTAAACTATCGATCACTCCGAGTCAAACTAAGAAGTTGCAGGTACTTTTGGTTTTACTCTGTAAATAGTAAAAGTAACTTTACATTATTCTCTACGTATGAATAAGTTAATTAGGTTAAAAATATTGTTTTTTTAATGTCTTTAAATATATATATTAAATGTTGTTTTAAAATTTTATGTTCATTCAAAAAGTTTTGTTTCTTATTTAATTTTAACGAATTTGAGCAGTACTCTTTTCTTAATTTTTAAATACTTCTGATTACAATTTCAATGTGCATAAAGAATTTTATGAGGACAAACATAAAAATGTACTTTTTATAGCAGAAGTTAAAATGAAAAAATATATTACAGAGTTGCTACGCTTTTGCTCTTTTTAAATTCCCTGACTTTTCCAGGTTTTTGAAATGAAAATTATTCGAAAACATCAATAACTTCATTTTCAAATAAATATTTAATCATTTTTTTTTATAGAAATGAAGATATTCGAAAATTTGAAATTCAATAAAAAAGAAAGAATATTATTATAAAAATTGCTACTTTGTTACTGTAACTTCTTCATAAATTATTTTCATCATTGCGATTATTTATTTATGGAATTTTCAACTAAAATTCTTCAATTTTTAAAAAATAATTGTAGAAAATTTTTTTTGGATATTTTCATATTCTTTTGTTTACAATTTAATTTTATGAAATTTCGATTATTCTGACATTTTACGATTAAATATATTAGAAATTAAAAACTTAAAATAATTAAAAAAAATTCCATTAAACTTATTGAGAAAAAATCAATTCTATAGAATTCTTAATCTGAAGTATGAAAAGTTCAAATTTTCAAAGATTTTAATTTGAAATTCATTTTTAAATCAATATTTATTAAAGCATTCTAAGAGAATTTAAATAAGTTTAGTATAAAAATAAATATTGTTTAAAAGAATTGAATGTTTCTTAAAATTTAATTTTAATAAAAAATTTTATCAACAAATTTAAAAAAAAATGTAAGATTAATTACATTTTTTGAGAAATTTGATGAAAATTGTATTAAAAATAATTGAAATTCTGACAAGAATTTTATTAAAAGTTTTGAAAATAATTGAATCGAGGAAGAAAATTTTATTATTTATAAGAATAGTTGAAATTTTGAAAAGGTTTCCAGGCTGCGTAGCAACCCTGTACTATTATGAATATAATTAATGATTAAAAACCTTTAGCTCTCAAAAGACATGGCGTGTCCGGCAATTCCAAAGAATCCAATTGTTCCAATTCAGATGTCTGTAATGAAAATAAGTTATATTTTTAAATATTATGAGATAATTTTTTTTGTAAGCTGTTTCTTAAGTTTAATTAAAAGAAGAAAGATCAAATCGCTTTTTTTTCATGTAACATTGGTTAAACAAGGAAATTTTAACTTTTTTAAGAAGGGATTCACATTAAAAGAAGAAAATTTTCAAATTAAGTAACAAATTATTGTAACGCTTTTTTTGTTTTGAAATCGTAAACTGTAAATTTTTCTATATCCAGAGTAAATTACAATAAAAATTAGTAAATTTGACTTCAAACTTACTATACAAAAATGAACTGTGAAAAGAGTAAAAATTTTTAAAAATCGTTATTTCCAGAGTGTTTTTCATAAAATTCTGAGAAAAGGGAATAACTGTGATCTATGATTATTGAAAATATTGAAATCAAAATCGCAATTAACAATACTAACCTCACACTCTACACAGAGAAAATTGATTTTTTCTCCAAAGTGGCTCGCTACAATGTCCAAAACTTGCAGGAACATGATTTCTTCATCTGTGGTTTTTTCAAATTGAAACAGCGAAACTGTACCTTTCGTTGCAACTGGTGCATCAACTTCATTTGCAGTGTTATTTGTATTTTTTCCCCTACTTTTTTTCTCATTCGATCTAATCATTGTTTTTGAGTGAAATTTTAAATCGTTGAATGTAAAAATTTTCTCGTACTGTTTTATCATCCCATTCGTGACGTCTGCAATTTCGTGTCCCACTAATAATTTATAATGCCAAAATAAATAATTGTCAATTATAAGTAACGGCCATTCTGTCATAACATTATTAATGTCTGGAAAATTTTTAAAATTATTTAAAAAGAGTCTCTGAGCAGTGTATGTCGTTTCTAAGTGATGTGTGATATCGTCATCATATTCTTCGTGAATTTCAAGGGCATATTGTTGCAGTACTTGCTGACTAGTTTTAACGGATTCGTCAGTTTGGTTTTCAGGGTGTTTCTCTGGTTGCCAATTTACACAACCAGCTTGCGCAAGAATCAATTTTTTTTGTCTGAAATAGCAACTCTTTTCGTCTGCTTTAAAAAATTATTACCGCTGCTTCTAGAAATGTATGCGAATCTATTTTTAATTTTTTGTTTAATCACGTAATAACCTCCACCGAAATTTCCTCCCCCTTCCTTTAAATCCTTAAAAATGTTTGGATAATCATTAACCATTTTTTTCGCTATCTCGACAAAATCTTTTTCTTTTAAATCGGTTGTTAAAAACCTCACCTGCACGGAGAAAATTTCTTTCGTAATAATTACAATAGTGTATATTACAGCTCGGATATGTGACCACTTTCTGTAATGATTACGAAAACTATGTAATTTATTAAGAATTTAGTAGGAGCGATTACTATAGTTACTTTAATGAATCCAAACACTGTATTAATCGTGTTGAAATTTATTTTTTGGAATCATTAATAGTTTAGATGTACAGGTTCAGAAAGGGTACTGTAGGCATTCACGCAGAGACTTGTTATAATTACAATAGTCTACGTTAAAAGGAAATCTTGGATACTGTTCACATTTGTAGCGGTCTAAGGAAATCATTGATACAGACTGTAGTAGCCTTTACGACAGGACTATTGTAAAATAAGGTGACCGCGGCTGCCTTGCCTTCTTATTTTACTATAGTTCTTCGTAAAGACTACTATTGCTATATTTCTGATTACAAATAACTGTTGTAAAGTTAAAAAAGAAAATTTTCAACTAAAATAAATTTTTTTTGTAATTCATTACTTGCGTAAAGTACGTAAGTTACCTAATTAGCGCAATTTACAATAATTCGTCTATTACGTAACTTAAGTTATTTACGTAAGTGCAACTTACGTTATTTACGTAACTTATATTTTTACGTATCATACATTATTTACGCAACTTATATAATACGTAACTTACGTAAGTTAACTTACTTATTTGTGTAACTTACTTTTGTTATTTACGTAACTTGCGTAAGTTATGTAACTTACGTAAGTTGTGTAAATTATATAACAATTTATACAGGCAAGAAATCTTGTACCTTCGGTGCGTGTGTTAGAAAAAAAAAATTTCACTATGGAAATGTAATAAAAAATAGACCTTACAATATTAAAGACTAACAATGAACAATAATTGTATTAATTATTGAGAACGAAGTGATTTTTTTACATTTAAAGTGTATAAGTCTTTCTCGCAAGCGGTGAACTTTCATAGCAGTTAGTATATAAGGAAGTTTAAGTAATGTATAAATATGTGTAAATAGCGATCGTTATTATGTTATGCGTTTAGTATTTAAGTTAGATTTATGTACTTAGGGTTTAGTGAAATTGTCTAGTTTAATAATATAATTAATCTTGAAGTGGGTAGTCTTGGAAAAGTGAAATTAATGTGCAATACATGATTAGAAGTCATGAATTACAAAAAAATTTTATTTTAGTTGAACATTTTCTTTTTTAACTTTACAACAGTCATTTGTAATCAGAAATATAGCAATAGTAGTCTTTACGAAGAACTATAGTAAAATAAGAAGGCAAGGCAGCCGCGGTCACCTTATTTTACAATAGTCCTGTTGTAAAGACTACTACAGACTGTATCACTGATTCCCTTAGATTGATGCAAATGTGGATAGAATCCAAGATTTCCTTTTAACGTAGACTATTGTAATCAGTCACATAGACTTTGTGCTAACTCATATTTAGTTCGTATTTATTTCAAATAAATTTTTAATGAGTACGTTCGACTTACAGAATTGTTACAACGAAGCTACTTTAGGCATTACGAAAAGTGGTCACATATCCGAGCAGTACTGTTCGCCTATTGTAATCATTAACAGAAAATTTTTCTCCGTGTGGTCAACAATTCTATTAACCATTGTGGTTACTAAAAATTTTGAGCGTTTTCCTGCTTCTAAATCTGCAAAATACATTTCATTTTCACGGGGCCATAAAATAGTAAATTTTTCCCAATCTACCACATTATTTGTACCATTTTCTACAACATTCTCATTCGTGCTATTTTCGACGTCATTTGTCGTTTTGCCATTTTCACCATCATTCTTATCCGTTCCTTCGTCGTACTTATTCCAATCCACATTTTCGTCTGATCCATTTTCATCTTCATTCCCAAGCTCTTCATCTTCGCTTCCATTCCTATTAAGACACGCCTTTTTAGCAGGGGGTCCATTATATGGGGAACTACTGGAATTTTTATTCTTCGCAGAGACCGAATTTTCATTAGAAAGTTTGGCATTTGTTTTTGTTGGTACCAAAAATTTTTCAGCAGCTGTCCACTTTTCAAATGAATGCAGTAGCAAAAACACTTGAGGTGGCCTCGAGGTATTTATTGTTAAAAATTCTAAGACATCATCAGTAGATACAACGCTGCCGTCTTCTTCTAACACTAATGTTGATCCTTGAATACCAAGTTTTTCTTTCCCTTGAGCAATGACTGCAGATAATTTTGGTTCCGAAATTACAACAGCCTTTTTTAATCTGTCGCAACTCCACACTTTGAACATACACTGCATCTCTGAAGTTAAAAATTGTATGTAAGAATTTTAGAGTTTAGTATACTTATAATTAAAATGCTTTCTTTAAAATTTAATTTTTACTTTCACAAGGGTTACTACAAAACATACATTTTATAATTCTATGGCTTTTCCAGATTTTCCAGACCGTTTTTTAAAAAATTCCAGAACAAAAAATAAAATCATTTCAGTAAATTTTTAGCTAATTACAACAAAAAATATAAAATCAATCACTGTAAAAAATGATTATATGTAAATTAACTGAAAAAACATTTACAAAACTTAACATTTATATATATTAAGCATGATATTATTATTATAATAATATTTAGTTTTTCATATATATATTTTTTAATATATAGTTCTATTTGTATGATACTAAAACTAAATACTCACTGTTATTAAGAAAATTTAAAACATCTAAAGTAGTATTTCTCTCATTTTATTATCGTAAGAAATGTTGTATTAACTTGGAAGATGTTTAATTGAAAATTTCATATCGTATAATAAAATTATGTATTGTAATTAAAAAATAAAAATAATTTTTTTTTAATATTATGAACGATTGAAGGTTTAAATGTCTAAAACTAATGGAACATATTTACACACATATACTTTATCACATCCAATATTTGTTTTCGAAAATGGATGGGACTGAGTAGCTGAGAGTATTCGAAAGTTGCTAATTTATCTTCCAATTGTTCAAATTCATTAGATTTCATTGACTTAAATACTCCAAGGTCTTTATTGTAATTTGCTTCGTGTCGCAGTCTCAAGAAAATTATATTTTGATGAGTTTCATTTACAAGGATCTCATCAATCGTCAGCAAAATAAATTTGTCAAGTTCACCTTTGCCAACACATACAACCATATCCCTTTTATAAGTAACTCCTTTAAAATTGATTTCTGTGGAAACACTGTTAATTATTTCTGAATTACCCAAATTTAAAATAAGTAACCGTCCCACATAGCACCATAGTATGAGGTAAGGTTATGTTGAGTACTAATCGTAAGGCACATAAGGTTACACAATATTGCTGCGGTAGACCTGAGGTGAACTAAAAACTTCCGCCATGGAGGTAAGGTTACATGTTAGGGTGTGGTGAGTATATATGATAAGGCCATGGTAACCTTACACGTTAAGGTTAAGGTAACCTTACACGTTAAGGTTGAGGTAACGTTACATGTTAAGGTTGAGGTAAGGTTACATGTCAAGGTTGAGGTAAGGTAATTATTAAGTTGTAAGGTTGAGGTAAGGTTAAGGTAAGGTTGTGATAAATTTACCAGTTATGGAAAATATTGAAAAAATAATTAATAAATAAATATTCAATTAAAAAGTTAGTTTGTTGCTCTTCTCTATTTTGGAAACCTGACATGAAGCAGAAAATTTTGAAAACAAATTTGGGGGGAATGGGATTCGAACCCGGGATCGACGCGCATAAACCTATCATTCTAACTAACTGAGCTAAGTAGAGAACTGGCAGAAGGAAAATTAATGATGCCTTTAAGGTGAACCAAGAAGATGATTAACTCCTTAAAGGCAATATTAATTTTCCTTCTACCAGTTCTCTACTTAGCTCAGTTAGTTAGAATGATAGGTTTATGCGCGTCGATCCCGGGTTCAAATCCCAGTCCCCCCAAATTTGTTTTCAAAATTTTCTGCTTCATGTCAGGTTTCCAAAATAGAGAGGAGCAACAAACTAACTTTTTAATTGAATATTTATTTATTAATTATTTTTTCAATATTTTCCATAACTGGTAAATTTATCACAACCTTACCTTAACCTTACCTCAACCTTACAACTTAATAATTACCTTACCTCAACCTTGACATGTAACCTTACCTCAACCTTAACATGTAACGTTACCTCAACCTTAACGTGTAAGGTTACATCAACCTTAACGTGTAAGGTTACCTTAACCTTAACGTGTAAGGTTACCATGGCCTTATCATATATACTCACCACACCCTAACATGTAACCTTACCTCCATGGCGGAAGTTTTTAGTTCACCTCAGGTCTACCGCAGCAATATTGTGTAACCTTATGTGCCTTACGATTAGTACTCAACATAACCTTACCTCATACTATTGTGCTATGTGGGGTGTTTCTGGATCAGTAATTGTCGGCGAATTGTAGGGTACAGCATTTTTGAATTCAACTGAAGAGGAGTATGTTTCTTGCTTAACATTCAAGCACTGTTGTATCTCGTGTTTGAAACATAAACTTTTAGTTATATTTTTAAAATTCTTGCAGTGTCGAATAACATTTTTGAGAAAGGACTGACTCTCAAAACGAAGAGTCCATAAATGTTTTAATGGACCAAAATGCAAGATCAAAGAAGGGTAATGGGTTATATAGTGATGTTTTGGTTTCAAAGAAACTAAAGGAAAACATGTGATTCTTAAGTTCAAATAATCCTCAATCTCTTGCTGTAAAAGTGCAATTTGTTGAATTGATATTGCGGATGCGCAAACAAGAGCGCAAACTTCTCGCATGTGTATTACCATTTCCCAAACTGGATCCTTTAAATCTTCAATTTTGTCGCTTAGAATGATGGGAAATATTAAAAGAAGTTGTCTTATTTCGCTTGCAGTACCTATTAATTTGATGTCAGATTTAATGGGTGGAAGATTTTGTTTTTCCTCCTTACATAACTTAAAATTTTTTATCCGTTTATTTAATTCTAAAAGTGTGATCCAATCTTCACTAATGAAATATTTAATCGCAAGCGCTAAATCATTTCGAACTATACCCTCGAATAAATCATGCGCAATACACGGTGGCAATCCAGGGTTGCACACATGAAAATGTTCTAAAGTATTTAAGACAGATTTTCCTTTTATTCCGAGATATAATTTCTTCGATTCTATTGCAATGTCAGAATTATTTTCATAATTATTAATGTTGCGCAGATTATGAACACCATGCTCTCCCGAATGCAATTCGTCTCTAGTGATTTCACAAAATCGACAAAAATTTATTGATTTACTAAAGTTGGTAGTGAATCCTCCTATGTCATGACTCCCCA